GGAATGAAAAAGGCTCTTACTTTTTAGACAGGGAGAGCATTGCTAAATACCAGTGAGGTCTTGATCTTGGGCCTGAACAGGGTCTTCTGAATCCCAGTATTACACTTTTATATAGCCACCTTTTCTGAATTTGTCTAATAAATTTAATCAGAGCTGTCAATGACCATAAGAAGATTTTTGTCCTATTTCAGTTAGCTCAGGACATTCTTTCCTGAGGATAATCTTTAGTGAACATAGCACTGCATTGTGGTCCAGGGAGCAAAATGAATGTATTGTTCAGTTTGAATTATAGCATATTACTGTCAAGGGTATTCCTTCAAAAAGCTGACACCTTCTAATTACATCTGTGAGACTCTGTGAAAAATGGTATCCCGGGGAAAAAAAATTGCTTGGCACCCACTTTGTTAGTTTTAGCCTGATGTTCATTTCTAGCCATTCATATAGGGTTGAGTCATACAAGAGAAGCCTGTAAGGGAATCACAAACAATCTGTCTGGCTTGAGGAAATCGAGAGCCGTTTCAAGTGTGCATTGCCTCACTCCATGGTTAGTGACAGGGGCTATTAGAGACTCTGAAAATAGAGAGGGCATTTTTCTACCTGAATAGCTCTGCAGATAGACTGGAGATGGGACAAAAAGAAGTTTCGTGAGAGAAAGACCATCCCAGGAAGAGCCAGAATCAGATGCAGCATTGGAATCGGATGCAGTCATCCCTCACCTGCCCAGGGCATCTCTAAATCTCAGCTGACAATCTTTTCCTTCTGTCTTTAGGCAACATTTTTCACCTCCCCTGAGCTAGTTTGAAACCTTTAATTCCATTCTGCCTGTTTTTCCAAGAATGTGGTGTGACAAGTGGAAACTCATCTCCAGATGGGGAAAGAAGGGGGCGGGAAGAGGGGAGAGCACTGCGTGAATATTAAATAATTTGCAGCGTAAAATGTTGAGCTATGAACAACGACAGCACACCTCAGGCTAATAGTATGGTGCCAGGGCTGTGCTGGCACGTGGGGTGTCCCAGGAGGGCTGGCAGCAGTGCTCAGGGGGGATGCATGCCCTGGGCTCAGCAGGAGGTGATCCAGGACTGAGATGCTTTGGCTGAAGATGCACAAAAACCCTGCGTGGTGCGAACTTGCTGGTGCAGGAAGCTGGTTCTCCCCGTACTGGTGAGGCTGGTGTATGCCTGGAGGCAGCATTACCATCCCATTTAAACATTCATCCGCTTTGTGTGCATGCTCTGATGTACCCACGTTTGCTAAGGGACCCTCTTACTTCCTGGGCCAAACAGCTCTGTGTGGTGGAGAAAAGTTTTTATTCCTCCAGTGCCATTTAGGGATTGAGCTGTAAAGCTTTGGCCCTGCTCTGGTGGCAGATGGGGAGCCAGGATGCCTGTCCCCCTTGGCTGCAGAGTGGAAGGGAAGAGGTCAGGTCTGAGCAAAGCACCTTGTTCCTGTTCTTGGTGCTGATAAGGTACCAGAGAGGTTGTGCAAGCCCTATCAGAAGATGAGAATGTGCCTGAGGCTGTAGGCTTGGTAAGCTCAGACTAAAATGGTTACTGGCTGATGAGCAGGACATGGGGTAGTTAAAGCCTTGGAGGTTTCTATGGGGTTTTGGGCCATCAGAATTTGAAGGGGGTGAAATGCAGTAGGCATCCAAGGCAGGGAGCATCACTGCTGCATTAGTATGGAGTGAAAATGGGACACAGAATACAACCAGGGAACAGGAATGGAGAAAAATGACCCTGGCAGGTGCTGTCATTCCCTGGAACCTGTGTCTCTGCTTCTCACACTGCTGTATTTCACATGGTCTTTGGCTAAGTCACAGGAGAGTGGCTTGCTCCAGTGTCTGAATTACCAATGCATTTCTCTTTGGCTAAGTCACAGGAGAGTGGCTTGCTCCAGTGTCTGAATTACCAATGCATTTCACATCTTGGTCTTGGAGACCTTGCAACTCTAACCCTGAATCTATTACCCTAAGCATAGATAAAGAGCTTAGGATCTGTGGTATGAAAAGCCTGATGTGCTGTAGGGAAGCAAGATGAATCCAATGTATTGAACAAACTTGGAGTGCTCATCTTCAGAGGAGTTATAAAGTGGAGTGGGAAAACCAGAAACATGCTCAGAGAACTCCACCAGGAGAGAGGCCACTGCTGGGGTAAAGCATCTACTACAGGGATGTTTGTCAAATGTGAGATTTTGGGAAGGAGCTGTGGGTGACCCAGAAAAGTTCATTTCCTACTATCTGCAGGCAGCACCTGCACATTTCCTTGTCCAGGAGTTCCTCCAGCACCACTGCAGATTCCTGCTGAGGGGTATCCAAAGGGGCCAACCAGACCAGGGCACACCAGTTTTCTAATGGTGCTCATGACCTTTGCGAGGTGCTTGACCCTCATGCTCATGGGTAGTACCAGGTCAGAGCAGATAACTCTCATTCCATTGATGAATTTGCTATATTATTTCACTTCCTGGCCCAATTTCTTATGCCGTGTCCATCTGAGAAGACACAATTTCCATGGAGTGTGCAATGGCTGTGAACTTGGTTTTAGGCTCCCCTGGGCACAGCAGTTCTCATCTGAAGGTTATGTTTGTCCTGCCAGACCATGGAGCTGTGTTTCTCCTGGATGTCTTCATGGATGACTTTATCACAGATAAAGGTGGGAGCTGTCTGCTTTTTGAACACAAGGGGACGATTCAGTCCTTTTGTGAAGGATGATCAACCACAGTAAATAAAGTTGCTGCTTGTGGGAGTAACAATTAAAATCCATTATAACCTGCTTAACTAGTCAGGGACTGAAGTGCCTGGAAGAACTTGCTCTGTCCTCCCTGAGTACTGTTTTGCTTGGCCCATTTGCCTGATTTGGGAGAAAGATTGTGTTCTGAGGGGGTTAGCTTGAAATTCCTGCTCTCATGACCGGGGCAGTTTCCCTGTTCCTAAGGATGACTGATACCATAGAAAAAAAAAATAAGTTTCCCAAGTGATCCTTCAGAATTGAGTATTTTGATTCATGGGACATGCAGCATGCAACACCTCATGCTCAGGACAGACAACACATCACAGATTAAACCAAACTATGCTTCAGCTCAATCTCTGAATTTACCAAACTGCAGCTCCGATGTTTTCAGTGGAGTCACCTGGAAGACAGATGAATTGGTGTGACAGGTAATTGATGTGGAGGTAATTGCATGGACTTCTTGCTGGCTCAAGGTTTGGAGAAGGGAAAACAGGAGCAGAGAGCCCATGTGTACATGGAAAAGGCAGGGTCTGAGCTGCTGGGGCCTGTGAGCTGATGACTCACAGGCTGGATTAATGTGTGTGAGCCATGGAAACTGGCTGGGTGTCTGATTGCCCCCAGTGCCAGGCAGAAGCACTCAAAAGCCACCTCAGACTTATTTTCTCCTTTTTTTCTAGAAGAGTACACACATGGAAGGGCTTATCTCCACTGATTACTGCTCTGCTTTCAAGAACTATAAGGAGAAAAAGCCATGCCTTTTCCCTCTCTCTCATTTCAGGAGACCTGCTCATGGCCATGTCTTTTGTGTGCCTTCCAGACACCATCAGAAAGAAATGGCTTTTCCCAGGTCTTTCGTGCAGCTCAAGACATTTATTTGGCTTTTGTGACTTCTTTCTGTGTTGCAGTGCTTTTATTTGGGGCAGCACTGAGGCAGGTGAGGAATCAGTCTGCCAGAGCCAGGGGGCCCATTGGGTTCACATGTTTATGGCATGGCCACAGCATAAAAATAGGAGCTGGGGTTTGATGTGCCCAAATGTGTTCCCGTGGGCTGCAGGGTGACCACACCCCATGAATACTTGTCTGGGATTTGGGGATGCCAAAAAATGTTGTCCAAATGGGCAAAGTCCTCATATTCCACAAGGATGGGAAGTTTGGAAGGAGCAAGGGGAGACATCACGAGGAACTTCTCTACCAAGGACAAAGCTGCCCATGGCATCCTGGCTCAGAATGACCCAGACCTTTTGTACAGCTGCATCTGGGGGTAAAACTGCCCTCAGCACATGTCCAAGATGAGTGGTGAGGAACAGGTTTCCCAGAGAAGTTGTGGATGTCCCTTTGCTGGAAGTGTTCCAGGCCAGGCTGGATGGGCCTCTTGAGCTACCTGGTGTTGTGGAAGGAATTAGAACTACATGATCTTTATGATCCCTTCCAACCCAAATGATTCTCTGACAGGTCCCAGTACATCCATCCATATTCCCCTGACTCACAAAGACAGATGTTTTACTTTTCTGCACTCTCCAGAACACCAAGTCAGATCAGGAGAGGTGTATTTAAATGTTACTCACCCTGGCTGCCACAGTAAGACCAGCAGACATTTGCTCCCTGCTCCTGGAGAAGGGACTGCAGTTTTCAGGGAGGAAAACACCGTCAAACCAATTTTAAATACATGTGCTGGAGAGACAATATCTGTTCAAGAATGGATGGTCTTGGCTGAGATGTTATGGTTTGTTTTGCTGTGGGAGGTCTGGCTTGTCTTCCCTCTCCTCCCTGTAGCATCAGTAGCATCAGTAGCATCTCTGATGTGCCCTGGATGACAAAACTCTTGTCCTCCCTCTCCATCACATAAGATGTCACCCTGAAAGAAGGATGGGTTGCAGGACTAAAGCTGAGGAATGGGTGGGTCTTTCTGCTGGGCTCTTGCCCCTCCCTGCCGAGGTGGAGCTGGCAGCCAACCAGAGAAGTGTGGGGAGAAAATGGAGAGGAGAGAGGTTTGTGTTGCTCTGTGATGTGAGATGGGACAGGCCTGGACCCATAATGTGACTGATTTTGTCCAGCATAGTGACGTGATCAGTGTCCCACTGGTGCCACTACATGTCCCCTTGGCCACCCATGGGGGAAACCACAGAGGTGGTGGCAGGGCCATCCTTGTCCCCACGGTGATCCAGGAGCTCACCCACACTAACCTAATCCCTTCTCTCCCTGCCTTGAGCTCTGAGCTCACAAACCCTGAGGCTTCTGTGACTCCAACAAAGAGGATGCTCAGATTTCTACCAGCTTGGACACAGCAGCCTCATGGCATGAGGGGTGAGCTGGGGACATCCCTGCAGGGCAGGCAAGGCTCCGTTCAAGTGGTTCTGGTTTTTGGCCAATTGTGCCATGTCAGTCCCGTACTAAGTATTGTGATGGAGGGAGCCAGCCTTAGGTTAAAAATAAATATCTTTGGTAATTAACAGGCATGGCTGGGGGACTCCTGAGCACCATTCGTTTCTCAAGCTTAAATTCCCAGATCAGGGCAGTTTTGTGTCCAACTCACTTTTGGTGACACATCCACTTTGCTTTTCCAGGGGGATTTGCTGCTGTTCACATTGCAGTGACATGGAGGTCTTTATGGTCTTACATTTCTGCTTATCTGATCCACCCCTGCCCTCCACACTCCTGGCATGGTGCTAATACTGAAACGCTTTTCCTCCCTCTGTTTGTGCCCCCCTCAGAGGAGATAATATCCAAACACAAAAAAACCCCAGGTAGGTCTTCCAAAGAACTTGTGAGAATTAATTTTTTTCAGTTTCAGCAGCCTACAGCAGAGGCAACACAGTGATTTATTCTCTTTTTGGACATTCTATTTTCAAGAATAAAAATCCTTATATATATATATATAATACAGTGGAATAAAGCATTGCTGTGACCATGTCACCACCAGTAAGGAAATTTCAAGTGGGGCTCTGGCTGTCCTCCGAACTGCAGCCAGGATCTGAGTTACTGTCCCACAGGGGCTTGCTGTTGGAAAATAACGTAATTGACTTTGTCCCATTTCCAGTTTCACAGAGAAACGAGCTGTAAGAGCACGCAGGGTACGGGGGCTGGCTGCTCCCGGGGTTTTGGGAGCATGATAAATGCAGTAATCAGCCCTGGAGTGCACAGAATGTCTCCTTGTGCTTTCCTCCCCTCCTGCCTGGGGTCAGCATCATCAGGGGCTGGAGCTGCTCCAGCCCTGCCAGGGATCTGGGGCTGCCACGACGGAGGCACCGCTGCCCTGGGAAGCCAGCAGCTCCCTCCCCTCGGGATCCCAGCATGGCTTTTAACCCAAATAGCTGACCTTTCATTAAAGATTACCTATTTTTACTGCTCCTCAGGATGGGAAGAAGAAAAGGCTGAAGCTTGCAGAGGCAGGCCAAGCCAAGATGTTGTTTACAGTGTTGATAGGGAAATTACTCAGGGCAAGTTTAAAATTTTTATTTTATTTATTTTTTTTTTGTTGTTGTTGTTGTTAAATTAAGGTAGTCCCCAGTTAAGCCTGGACATTATTCCATTTGATCTGCTAGTAACAAAGCAGGAAAGACCCTGGGGCCCAAGGACTACTGGATAATGCTACATCTGTGCTAGTAAGTCAAAAGTGCTTGAGACTTAGTTGTGGGCTCTCAGACCACAAACACAAAAGGTCCTGTGTCTATTAAAGCCCTTTAGGCTCTGAAATACGGCAGACACATGAACATTTTGCCTGGGGAGTGGATCCTGGCCTGTGCTGATCTGCAGACTGTGCTGGGGAGCTGTTTGGGACACTGCTGGTTGGCAGAAGGGCTGGGGGCTGTGATGCTGAATCTGCTGCCAGGGCCAGCCCCCAGAACACAGCCTGGCACCAGGTGATGCACAGGCACCACCCCAGCAGCTGAGCCAGGCTAATGGCCCAGCCCTTGGTACCAGGGGGCAAATGAGGCACACAGAGAGAGATGGGGTGACCTAACAGAGGTGCTAAAAAAGGTCTGTGTCAGAGCAGTCTGCAGACATGTGGGGCCAGCTGGGGGAGAAAATCCATCCTCAGGCCAGCACCCAGGAGATCACAACTTTCCTGTCTTGTCAGACTGCCTCAATCTCCATTTGCAAAGCAGAGGTTGCCATCCTCCCTTGTGTGTAGGGCTGTGAGGAGTCAGATACAAGAGTGATATGCATCATACAGGCCATATCTAGATTAACATGTAATTGCTACAACTAGATTAGCAAGGCAGCAATAGGAGAGTACAAGGAGAACAAACAGGCTGGTGCTGTGGGCTCAAGATCTACTCCATGTGCAGTCCACAGTGGTTACTCCAGGTCAGATTTATTCCAGTCACCTACAGCAAAAATCCCCACCCTGCACACTGTCTGAGGCTGGCTGAAGGACCAGCTACTCATTTATTACCTCACATTCCTAGGAGGGGTTGTGACAGAGCTTCTGGTTCCATTTCCACTGACAGGGAAAAAAAAAAAAAAAAAGATAAAAAATACTTAATTGCATGCATCAGAGCTGCTTGCAAACTGGATCACTCTGGAGTGGGGGAGGCCAAGCCAGAAGCTGCTATAAAACAGCATTACTGCTCTGAACCAAAATGCTAAGGCAGAGGCAGCCAGAAGCACCTTGGGCTTAATCCAGTGTTCAGCAGAAAGATTCTCATGTACTGCAGCTCTTCCTGAGTCAGGCCCTGAGGGCTTGTCTGTACACAAAAATTAATCTGGATTAGGATGGGGCAGGAATTTAAGGTAGTCATTCTTCTGGAATAACTTCACTTCATAACAGACAAGCCTCTGGACGGTTTGGTTAGGAAGCGTTGTGTTACATCACATTTGGGATGATGAAATGCATTCTGGAGAGAATGTCCTTGTGGTATTTGGTCACAATTACGCAGAGAGAGCACTTAAAAACACATCCATTTCCTGCAGGAGGAGAAACAGAGCTCCCTGCAGATTTGGAGTTCTTTCCAGGCCTGACTTGCCAGAACAGCCCAAAGGGGTTTCATCGTTCCTGTTTCCATTCAGTGAAAAGTGCACAAAATCTCATGTGCCCAGCACAGAAGCTGCCCTGAGAGCAGTGTGCAGGGACAGGTGGAGCATCAGCCCAAACATGTATGTGGCTGTTACTTCAGACCTGTTCCACACACTGGCTCACGTAGAAACACTTCAGAGAATCAGTTCAGAGCCCTGTCTGAAATGATAAATCCTGCACAAGGGTGGCTCTGCATGGATACAAATGCTCCCTCTAAGTGAGCCTGAATTAGACCCTCCTGGATTGCAGGTGGGTCCTCTGTTCCAATGTCTGCACCTCTGTTTGCTCTGAGAATCACAAATTAAGTAGAGAAAGACTAAATGATGCCATTGAGTTGGACATCATTGAGCAGAGTGATAAAAGCATTAACCCCTAAAGGACCACCAGCCCTCCTTATCCCACCGGCCAGAGGACAGAAGGGCAGAAAATGTCTTGATAGGTGTGAGCCTTCCTCCTGCACTGAAACCCCTTTTTCATCCAGGACTTTTTCTCCTACCTGACTGCTCTTGCACAGCTTTATTTCCAACCAGGTTTCAATGGCCTGGGAAATATTTCTACCAATACACACCCGCTCCCAAAGACTCTGTTTGCACTCAGCTCGAGTTAATTGTTCATAAGCAACAGTCCATAGACATAAAAGTTTCCACATATCATTTTTTTAGCTCCCTTGCTATTTATTCTGTGAGGTGATAACATTGGTTTCTCTCTAGCTTTATCAGTCTTGCACAAGGACAAACGAGCAGCAAAAGGGAACCTCCCTTCTCTCCCGTGGAGTGGAGTCTACAATCAAGCAGCCAAGGCAGAGGAACAAGCCCTTGTCAGTCTGTATGCACAGCCTGGCTGGCAGAGTGCATTTTCCTTAACATGTCTAATCCCACAAGTATGTGGTGGCTTGCTCTGCAGAAACCTCAGCTTTTCAGGTGCTAGAAAATATGCATGTTCCATGTTACTTGATAGTTTGCTCACATCCCTGTCTCTTGGAGGCAAGGAATTGCTGACCCTCTCAGCTTTAACCTACTCTGAGCACACCCCCCCACAACACTGCAAGGAATAATAATGTACTTGTGATTTCTTTATATTTTTTCTTCTGTAAATCCTGAAAATGAGACCTGAATTATTCTTTTCTGTTTGCTGTGATGGACATGCAGTCCTTGCTTCCCAGTGGAGTGACCTGTGTATGCTGAGCTTTCCCACAGCTTCCTCGGAAGACTGGGAAGAGCTGGTGAAGTTGAGGTTTGATAATGGAGCTTATCACAACCACAGAATAAAAAATTATCATTGCTTCCTAGGTCCAGCCCCCCTCAGGGGTAGAGGGGAATTGAATAAGGGCCCTCCCAGCAGGTGGGAAGGATTTTCCCCCTTCTTAAAAGACTCTGTGAGGTTTAAAGAAAAAATGTGTGCTTATTCTGGGATGAGGTGGAAGAACCAAATTGCCACATTTTTGTAAGCTACATGAAAGGGCTCACACAACTGCATCCCACTTTGCACAACAATCACCTGCCCTGTGCAGGACCAGCTTCATCCCCTACGCTGTCATTATGTCCCAGGTGTCCCCAGCCAGGCTGCAGGACCTGCAGCCTCCCTCACCTCCTTTTCTTCTGGAGCTGTTCCACTCTGTATAAACACCACTCATTGATGCAGCTGTTGGGAGACTTCCCACATCCCAGGGGAGTGCTCCAACCACAAAATTACCCTCACCCTTGCTCTCGTCACAAAGTGAAGTAATTCCAACTGTAGAAAACAAGAGGCACCCGGGTCAGAGTACCCCATCATTATCACAGTAGGGAGCACTCTCCTAGGACATGAGATTTCCCAATCAGATGCTGAAAAAAACGGGGGAAGCTGGGAAGAGAAATGTTATTGTTTTTTTCCTCCATTTTGTCATGAGAATAACAGAGTTTGAGATAGGTATTTATCTGTATGTGTATGTTTCTGGAAATGCTGAAATGAAATGCTTCAACATTTCCAATTTTTTTTATTTTTTTTTATTTTTTGCATTTAATCCAAAAACATTTGAGAATATGCATCATATTTGGCAAATAACCGTGGCCACCCTGAAACCACATTTTTAGCAAATAAATGATTCACTGAGTAAATTTAGCACATCTTAAATGTCTATTTATATCACAGGAACACACCCTGTCACTGTTGGGACTTCACCATGCTGAGTACTATCCAGAGCTCACAGCCAGACGTGCTCCACCACAAACAGCCTGAGAGGGAAAAATAAAGCCCTGCCTATTTGCTTTTTGCAACAGCACAGATGTCAGCCTCTCTGTCTCAGAAGAGCTGTGCCCCATCCTATAAACCTACCCCAGATACCTCACACCATTTTGGGACTGGCAAGCTGAGCATCATCTTGGCAATCTCCTCTCTGCCACCAGCACAGCAAAGCCAGCCATCCATCCATCTATCCATCCATCTATCCATCATCCATCCATCCATCCATCCATCAATCCATCCATCCATCAATCCATCCATCCATCCATCCATCCATCCCTTTTTTAGTTCCCTTTCCCAGAAAAGAACCATCTCAGGAAAACCTTTGCCTTCCATTGGCAATATCCTGTGAACACCGAATGGGTTAATCCCCTTTAACCACCATCCCAGTAATGAAAGGTTTCACTCTTTGTCACCTAATGGTCTTGTGTCTAAAATAGAAGCTGAGCTGCCTTCACTGGAAATGTTTTTAATCATTGTGGAATAAAAACCTAGCCTGGCTAGTGCCAACCAAAGAGATGTTTGTCTGCTCAGCAGATTTTATCAAAGCTTCCTTGATGTCTTTGCCTTTGTAATGCTAAGCACTTCACTGTTTGGCATATTTAAAGTAGGATGCGGTACATGTGAAGCATTTCACAGAGTGATGATGTATCGAGTGTGCTTTAGGAAGTAATGAAAGCAGCAGACTCATGATTTTTGAGCTTTTAATTACTTATTAAGTGGCATGACATAAAGGCTACGGGGGAGATTTTTTTTTTTCAGCATCCAACTTATTGGCTTTGAAGTCGGTGCCTAAATACCCTTTGTGCCTTTGAAACTTTCCGTCTGCTCACAGGGGAACGTGCTGCTGCTCTGGGCTTTGTTTCACGCTGACCACATTTGTTCAGGGAGAGGAGCCCAGGGATGGGAGCCTGCTCAGACACAGGTCTCTGCCTTTGCCATGGTGGATAAAGATGAGGGACAGGCTAAATGCATGTCCTTTGACAAAGGATATAGAGAGAGCCCTCAGCACAGAGCCTGGAGCAATGAGTTCTGACCTGGCCTCAAAAATGCCAGCACTACAGGGGGCAAATAACCATAGCAGCCCCCAGGGTGCTTTTAATGAGCTGAATCACAGTCCGAGTCCAGCTCTCCATCACTCACAGGCCACTGCCACAGCTGGTTTTAGCAGATGTCCCCTCTGACAGAAAGAGCCCAGCAAAGCACAGTGGTTGGCCTCGCCACCATCTCCCTCAGGTCTGGTGTCACCGCTGTGACAAGAATGCCAAAGCTTCACTAAATAATAAATAATTATTTAATAATAATAAATAATAAATTCAGGAGAGGCCAGAAAGAAGAAAAGACTCTCAGATTCAGGTTTGGGGATTTGTGGGTACTCCAGGATTTTTTTTTTATATTTTTACATTTAAAAAATATATATTTATTTTTTAATATTTTGAAGAGAAATACTTTCTTTCCCCTTATTCTCATGATAAATCAGAAGTCTGTGGCCTCATAGAAATGTTTTCTGTGAGGATGGAGCCAGATAAAGTATTTTTCATGATAGTGAAGATGAAACCAGATCCTTCCCTCGCTGCCATCTGTGCCAACACTCACTGTGTCACAGGATGTCCTAGTGAGCAGGGATCTCTTTGCTCAGTCAGCAGGTGACCCAGCAGTGAGAACACCTCTTTTTTACAAGTCCCACTGATTCCAAGAATCCCTTATGGACCGCAAATCCAAGATGTTCACTCTGGCTCCAGAGGCTGCTAAATTCCTGGGGGTCATGTCAAAGCTGGAGCCAAATACACGGGGAGAAACTCACCCTGCAGCTGCCTAAGGCACCCTCTCATCCTCTGGTCTGTGAAAAAGAGGTGTCATTCTGACATCCTGAATCAGTATCAAATGCTCCTTTCAAAGAGAAAGAAAATGGGGAAAATAAAGAAGAAAAGGAAGGGGCTGCTGCTGAAAATCTGCCCTCTCCACTGATGGAGAAATGCAGTGCCAAAAGTGCAATATGTGTATTTTTATCCCCACTGAAGGAAAAAGCAAAGCCACAACTTCCCTTGTTCAGTAAGTGACCAACACAAACATACAAGGGCTCAAGTGCATTTCTACCCCCTGGAAAAGTTGTCTTTAATTAGGACAGACACAGTGCTCAGTCAAAGCAACATCAATGTCCAGGCACACAATTTGATTAACCCACTTCTTACAGTCTTTGCTACTTGCTCAGATATTCCAGAGGGGGAAAAAAAAAATAATAAAAAAAGAGAGAGGGAAAGACTAAAATCCACTATGTTTCAAACAGTTAGGGATTTTTCCTTTCTATAATTTTTCCCCCAAAGAATGACAAATACCAGCGTGATGCTTTTTTAATTTTCTGAGTCTGCAAAACATTGTCTCTCACTGGATTTTTCTCAGTACTGGTCAGATCTGCACAGGGTCATCTGGGCAGGCAGCTGCAAGGGGATTTGGTTCAGGAGTGGAATGACTCAGGCTGCTTCCCAGTATCACAAGCAGCACATGAAAGGGTTGTGTCCTGGTATTTGCCTGAAGCTTTATTAGGTCATGTTATTTAGAAAATGTACTGCATAAAACAATAATTAGTTTTTTAAAAAAAATTCCTGCAGTCTGTATTGTTCATGATAGATTAATTTGCAGGTCTATTTTATTACTGCAGGTCCAATAAAGAGCAGAGGTGAATGCTGTCTAAAAAAAAAAAAAAAGAAGGCAAAGGGCTGAATATTAACATCTTCATTTTACTACTGGGAACTAAACATCAAAGGGACTAAGGGCCACGTAAAAAAACAATTTAAGTTCAACATAATGAGCCTGAAGAGTCCATTTAGCAGAAACCCAAGTTTGAAGGTGCTGTGAGCATTTCACTTTTAGTTTTGCAGTATTTGTGAGACCCAGGGTTGCCCCTGGACACAGTCAGCTGGAAGTGACCTAGGGTTTAGGTCATGATGAGCTCCTCAGCATCCAGAAATGAGCCATTCCTCTGACTAATTCCCCAGTGGGATCCCACCCACTCAGTGCTCCATGCACAGGATCAGCCTGCCCACAAGAAGGGGCATTGATATCCCTTAAATCTTCCTGTGGCATAAAGCTGGAAATCCCAGGAGGTGGGAAGTGGGTGTGTGATGTGTTCCACAGCCTGAGGAGCCACAGCAGGTCGGCAGGCTGGTCTAGTGGGGGGATGCTGCTTGCCCACCTTGTGAAACTGGGATGTTGCATATGAAACAAGTCAAGTGCAATTAGGTGCAAAGGAGAAAAGTGGTGGTGGCTCTTTGCCCCTTTCACCAGATCTATCTGTACTTGTGGAAACTCTTAATTTTAACAGGAGTTTTGGGATCTCTCCAGTCGTTTCAGTCTCTAAAGATTAGGTGTCACTATGGCTTGTGTTGAAATATGGAGGATCCTTTATCAGACTGAGCCCCAGACAGCTTCACTTCTTTTCATAAGTCAGTGGTACGTGAGGGACTGAAACTCACACCTAATGTGTAGGGATTTCTGCAAATCTGAATCAGGAATTTGTCCTCCTTCACTTGTTTCCCACTAACATCCCTCTTCTGAGGCTCCATTGTACCACTGGACTTGTCAGGGCCATTCTCTCACCTGGGACTTTCTTAATAATATTTATGTAGTGGTTTACTTGTTGTTGAGGGAAAAGAAGTGAGAATTTCCCCCAAAAAGCCTGAAGGAGAAGTTGGCCTCGGCACAGATTGGTGTCATGGTCATGCCTGCCACACTGCAGGTCACGGTGGATGGGCAAGGTGAAAACCACCCAGGGTGGTGACATGAGCTGACCTCTGCTGGAAGTGAGCAGGGAAAAGTTGCAAGTGGCTTTACCACACCCTCTTTTCACCTTGGCAAGGAGAAGTTCAAAACCACCCCAGGAAAACCAGGAGAGGAGCTGAATTTTTATCTCATTCTCAAAATCTGGAGCGTTTATGTTTCCTTTAGTGCACACACACAATTCATGCTATGAGGATGGACCACAAAACACTTTGGGCCCAAATTGCATCCCAGCCATGCCCATTTTCATCCATGGTAGCTCACCTGGAGTCACCCCAGATCGACATCAGTGTAGCTAATAGCAGGATCTGATCTTTCATCTCTTCCAGTGAAATAAGAATCAGAGGGCTTAGATGCTGATGAGGTATTTTCTCACTCAGTTCCCTTACACCAGTACAGAGGCTGAGGAATCCTGTCTATAAAAGAATTTAATTATGCTTATTAGAACAATGTATGGTTTAGTGGGTGTCAGCTGGGAGCAGCTCCTCACTCAGGCCAAATGCCACATGACAAATGAGCATGAACAGGTGAGATTGCTTGGTGTTACCCATTGCAGGAGCCTGGAGCTCTTCAGCAGCTTTCTCTGCTCCAACCTCCTGCATTAAAACTGGAAAACCAGGAGTGTGCAGCCTACATGTGTGGGAGAGCGTGTGCAGGAGGGAAGGTGAAGCTGGCATCGCCTTCACTGGGTATTTAAAGAGCTGCAGTGACTCCAGAGTAGTTTCCCATGTGGACACACACATATGTTCACACTCCCACTTACTTCAGTGTCTCTGAAATGAGAGTATTTTATTTTTTTCTTTTGAGTTGGTTTCTCTCTAGCGGCATTTGAAATTGAACTGTAAGGAAGGGACTACGATTCCAGAGAAATAGTCTGATGCTCAAATGCTTCCTTTAGATGGCTGTATCCAGGCAGCATCATCCAAACTAGTCACCCCCACCTGACTGGCTACTAAAGACCAGCCCACTGAGGTCTCGAGCACAGTTCATCTCCTCCTAAAACTGATGACTAAAATATGGCAGAGGAACTGTACCCCAAAGTGCCCATTCCCCTCCACTGACCAGCAGGGTGTGTTTGCACAGATGATTCATAACAGAAGTGCCCTTGCAGGAAGAGGTGATGTGCAGATCCACAGGGTCTTCCAGGAGAGTCTAAACCACAGGCTCTGCCTTCCCTGCCCAAATAGTTTGTGTTGTTACCAACCTTAAAATCACAGAATCACAGACTGGTTTGGGTTGGAAAGGACCTTAAGGACCATC